TTTGAAGGAGCATCGACTTATGACGTATCCATAACAAGTCAGATAGGTAATACTAAGGCATCAATAAAATTAGTTTATTGATGCACTCAAGTGATGAAGCGATCAACACTGAAGAACTGTAGTAAGGGGTGTTACTAGGAAATACCCATCCATATTAAGAAGAGGACTCAAACTCCCTAATCTCTGAGGCGGTTCTAGCTTGAGAGTTTCATACTGTACATAGTATACTTCATGGTGCATGATCGCAGAGTCATTGAAAATTAGTATTAATGTATACTCCATATATAAATCTTCAAAAGATTTACTCCGCATATAAATTATATCAAACAAAACCCGAAAATTTGGGTTCGATCCGGATCCTTGGGATTTTCAAGGGACAGTATGTAACAAAAGCACGCAAAAACAGTGTCAACAATATCCTCATATAATATGAAACAATCTTAAGGTGGAAACAAGATCAGCGAATTGTTGACACCTACAGAGAATGATCAATTCATTCTTGATCTTCCGCACAAACTCCTTGGTCGTTTTTATCAAATTGATGCCAAGTCCTCGCCACTGCCTCTGCTGAGGAATTCGCATATCTTCGTCAAGAACTTTATTTAATCTTCCGTCTCAGGTAGTTTCTTTGAAACTCTCAATAATCATCATATTTAAATACATATATACAACGTGCACAGAAAGCTGCAATTTCCTTACCGCTAGGCATTCAGTGGTTTTGTTGGATTATTGACTATCGCAATACAAACCAGATTGAATGGAAGAATGAATATATAACTACGGGTAATATATGCATCGAACTGGATGGAAGATGACATAATTAAATATTTCTAAACCAGCAAAATACCCATATATAGCTTACATCATTTCGTAATTCTGTCGAATCGTTTCTGGAATTTTTGGCTTGGTCACGCGAACAGCCTGCACATACAATCCCGGCGCAAGAACGTTCAGTTCCTTTTGCAACGCCATTTTCAAATTTTCGTCTATTTGATCTAAAACAATGGTTTCACAACACTAATAGATATAGCATCTTACAAATGTTGTTAAATCAATGAAGCTGGACATGGCAGACGGCACTTAACAAAGAAAACTAACAACGAAGCTTGAAAATAAATGAATATGCAGTTATTGCAATTACACACAACAGTTACACAAATGCTTCGCTATGCATAATACTCAACACCGCAATAGAAGCAGTTCATACCATGAAGCCGTTATCCGCTTTTAAGGTCCACTGAATCACTATTTGTAAGGATATCGTGCGATTAATACAAAGCAATACATGTATGCGCCGCAAAATGGTGATATCAGAATCTAACTTCGTTATGGAAACCAAAATATAACCGTGGGTACTTTTCGTTATATTGAAGGGCAATGCCATTAAAATGGGCGCAGTAGTATTAGTATATAGTATCAGCAGCGATCATACAGACTACTATATTTTAATAGTATAGTCGTTCCTCGCCATATCGCAGTTCACTTTGCAAGGTTTCGCTGTATCGCGGTTTTTTAAATTATATATATCTAATTTTGCATCTCGAATTTTTCGCTGTTTGCAATATATAGGTATTTTTTAAAATATATTTATGATTATTAAAATTATTAAATTAATTATTTATTATTATTAAAATTATTTTTGCG